ACACACACACACACACACACACACACACACACACACACTCTCACACACTCAATAAATCAGTGTCCCAGATTTCAAAGTGAACTGTCCTAGATTATCAAAAGCAATCAGGACTTTTTTTGTCCATTGAATCACCCTTATAGTGTTGACATCACATGGAACCATATGCATATGTTTCCTTTTTTAAAGAGTAAAAAATAAAAACTTGATAATTCCATTAAAATCTCATTTGAGGTGATGCTAAATTACAGAAGCTGAAAGTGCAAAACATGTCAGAATAATAGTCAAAGGAAGGTTTAGTGGACTGAATCAGTCACTAGTTTTGTGCTCCTCTTTGAGGAATTTTAATACATGATCTGATCACATTACATTAAGTGGTATAATTTAAACTATAACGTCGTTACGGCATGGCAGTAACGTTTAAAGCTATTATACAGGTTTTTGCCATCTAATAACTGTCTGGAAGTAAATCCATGGAAATGAGCAAAGCTGATTTTTCCATACAGTTGTCCACAGTCTCTGATCTAGAGTCAGATTTTGACATTGTATTATAATTAAACGTTTGATTATGGAAACTGATCGTAGATCAGCAGCTGCAGGCGGCTGTTTATCCCAACATTGACATTAGGCGGCGATTCAAATACTGTAATGCAGACAGGAAAACAGATTGTCTAGCCTGTAATTTAGAGAGGTTCTTCTTATTATTCTATAGCTTTTTTTAGGCAGGTTGCGAAGGCGAACCAACTCAGGTCAAGGGATGAGCGGAGAGAGCAACAAACGCTTTGCGAATCGGTTCGAACGAGTCATCGAAAAGATTCAGTTCATACGAGTGATTCGTTCGCGAATTAGACGTCACATGTGACGTCACGCTCACTCTTCTTCGCTGGTTTGCGGCAGCGCTATAAATGCTGGCGCGCTAGTGTGCGCGCTCTCTCAATTTTGCGATGTTGCGGTGGAAGTGCGCTAGCGCGTACAAAAATGAGAAAGTCAGGCGGTCCCAAGAAGGTAAGTTTTGCTAAAATAACAAATTGTTGCGTACGGTTTGTAGAATAAGTGTTTCAACCTGGTCCAAATCAATCCGAAGACGTCTGCTTCGAAATGTTTGATACTAACTAGCGCGTGGGTTTTGGCACGCGGCTGGTTCCTTGGCATGTTGGTTGTTGTTGCTGCAGAAATAAAAACACTTTAAAACAGACAAGTCACTCTAATCCCGTGGTCCATGTCAGGAAACTGTTCGTTGTTGATATTTGTAACGGTTTGTAGAATAAGTGTTTCAACCTGGTCCAAATCAATCCGAAGACGTCTGCTTCGAAATGTTTGATACTAACTAGCGCGTGGGTTTTGGCACGCGGCTGGTTCCTTGGCATGCTGGTTGTTTTTGCTGCAGAAATAAAAACACTTTAAAACAGACAAGTCACTAATCCCGTGGTCCATGTCAGGAACCTGTTCGTTGTTGTCGAAGTGCCCGTATGTAACGTGACCTTATACAGACGGCGCTGCTGCCGCTGTAGCACAGTGTTTATATGCGCTGGTCTCTTGTTTTAGGTGGCTGAATGTGCTCTGAATCCACTCCAGATGAGGACTCTCCAGCTGCTGTAGCTCCGCTGTAAGTATGAGGTTTCTCTCGGTTTCGGTCACCCAGCGGTAGTCAGCTGTGCAGGCCAGCCCGTGCCTGAGCTAGTGTTACTCTGCTGGAAGAGAAAGGTGCTGTGTTTGTGCTTCATCAGGTTTGGCTGTTTTAGTGAAGCCTGCTGTGCAGCACAGGTCCAGCCGAGCCCTCTGAGAGTGGTCTGTGCTCACACAGTGAGGCAGGCCTAGTCTGGGGGCGAACACTCAAGTCAAGTGTTTCTTGTAGCTGCAGGCTTCAGTTTCTTACATGCTTTTTTTGCTGACATCACTAAATTCAACCTTTCATTAATAAATTCATCCATTTCATGAGCCATTTATTGTCCCAGTCAACAACATGCAGTTTTTTTTTTTTTTGCTAATCGTGTCACATTAGGCAAGTAAAATGGGTTGTTGTTAATGCTATTTCATGTTGGTTGATATTGGTCACATTACTTTGACCTGATTGTTAAATGTGTATTTTTTACTGACTTTACAGGATGAGGTAAATGAGGAGGGAAGTTTGAAAGGTCCATCGAGATCATCCTATTGTGGGTAAGCTTTAATCATAACTTCAGTGTCGTGATCCAAGTCGATACCATCATAGCAGAAGTGTTTCTCTGTGATGTCTGTTAATCTTGGAATAGCAAATGCAGGGTTGGCACTGATTTTTGTTGAGACGGTCTGCAAAAATCTGACAAAGAAGCCTGCTACACTTTATTCATTTACACTACAATTTACTGTTGAATGTCATTAGTTTGACACCTCTTTCTGTTGTTGTAGGAAAGATGTGTGAAGATCTTCAGAAATCAAGTTTTCTGTTCCTGCCCTTTTTTAATGTTAAAAGTGATCGGTGCTCCGTTAACAGTTTACATTTTTTTTTAAATGTATTGTACGTTGTTACAAATATATAAAATCTACAATTATAAACTTAGCCCACTTCCTTTAGTGGAAATTCCTAGAACAGGGTTGTTTTGTGTTCCTGGAGAGCCACTTTCCTAAAATGTAAAAGTTTGTCAGATTGCTGCTTTGTCATTATGGGAATGGCATGTAGATTGACATGAAAATATCAGGGATTTTAGCATAAGGCTGCAACAAAATGTGAAAAATGAAGAGGATCTGAATGCACTATTTAGGAGGTGTCCGTTCCTGCTTCAGCAGTTTAGCTCTAGCCCCAGATAAACATGCCTGAAGCCAGGTGATCTGCATCACTAGTCTTTCAGGCGTGCTGGCGCTAAACTGCAGGAAAGCGGTCCTCCAGGATCAAGATTGGACGTCCTGCTCTAGCATTATTTGAGCATGAGGCTGCTATACGAAGACGATGAATGATATTTCTGAAATGGTACAATGTTTGATTTGTCTCATTTGGTTCTGTTATTTTCAAACACTGGACAATAAAAAAAATTATGAATAAAGTTTTAATTTGTCTGAATACCTGCAACTAGGTTTTAAAACTTGCCCTGAAGGTCCCCCCAGGTTTTTAAAGATGGTGGTTTTTTTGTTTTAAATGAACCCACTAAAAAGTGTACTACCTGGCCTCTCCTGTATCATCCTGCCTGCCAGGCCTCAGGCTTGAGTAACGGTGAAGTGAATGTCTCCCTCTACTGGATTTCTAGTGTAACGAAAGGAAAATGGGAGAGGATGGCTATGCATGTTCATATTTGCTCTGCATTAGTCACTGCTTAGTGTAGTATGGTTTTCACCTATTGATTGTGTTTCTGGACAATTAGTCCTTTAACCTTAACTGACTGTACGTACTCGATATGCCTGTTTGATCCGCTGTACTGTGATCCATATTTAACCCTCTAAACTCTAAAAATAGATCTGTCCAAAATTCATTAGATTTTTTTTTTTTTATTCAGTTGTATTTGTG